GTACCCTGTATTATGTTTAAGGTCCTCCTTTTTGCTGTACCTGAGTACCTGGAATTTATCACTGTTAAACATCATGTTATTGTCTGCTGCCCAGTCGAAAACTTTAATTAATATCTGCTTATAGTCTTTCAATGTCTTCAGCAGAGGTAATTTTCATGCTAATTTTTGTGTCATCTGCAAAAGATGATACGAAGCGGTGACTTGTATTTTTGTCTATATCTGATATGAGAATAAGGAAAGCAGTGGTGCAAGGACTGTACCCTGAGGTACAGAGCTTTTAACTGCACTTGGACTAGATTTGATATTGTTGACTGTTACTCTTTGTGTTCTGTTGGACAGAAAACTGAGTATCCAGCGTCCGACTTTACCAGTTATTCCATTGACCTCATTTTGCGTGCTATCACTCCATGGTCACATTTATCGAATGTCTTTGAGAATTCCGTGAAAACCACATCTGCATTCTGTTTTTCCTCGAATGCCTCAGTGATTTTTGTCGTAGTGGTCAAGTAACTGTGAGAGGCATGATCTTCCTGCTCTAAATCCATGTTGGACTGGGTTGTGGAGGTCATTGGTTTCCATGAAATTGGTGACCCGACTCCTGATCACTCTCTCAAATACTTTTATTATGTGGGACGTTAGTGCAACTGGTCTATAATTCTTTGCCAATGCTTTGCTCCCTCCCTTGTGTAGAGGGACTATGTCTTCTGATTTAAACGCATCTGGTATTTCCCCTGTGTCCAAGCTCTTCCTCCACACTATACTGAGTGCCTGTTCTACTGGCATTTTGTATTTCTTTATAAATATTGAATTCCATGAGTCTGGACCCGGGGCTGAGTGCATGGGCATATTGTCAATTTATCTTTCAAAATCTGTCACGCTCGTGTTGATATCAGTTATATTTACAGGTGTTTGGATATCACCCATAAAGAAGTTGTCCAGATCTTCCACTTTTATGCTGTTTATTGGAGTGTTAAACTTGTTCTCATACTGTTTATTTTTTTAGGACTTCACTAATTTCTTTATCATCCTCAGTGCGTGAACCTTCACTTGTACGAATAGGTCCAATACTGGCAGTGGTTTTTGCTTTTGATTTCGCATATGTGAAGAAATATTTTGGGGTTTTCTTTATTTCTTGAATTGCTTTATGTTCTAGTTGCCTTTCTTCAATCTGATATAAGTGTTCCAGTGTGTGCTCGATTCTTCAATCTTCCTGTTTAAATTATTCCTTCTTTGTATGGAGAGTCGTGTCTGCTTAAGCATTTCAGTCTTCTTTTGTAGTGTCGTCTGCGTCCTCTTTCTAGGCTGGACCTCTTTCTGGCTTTCTGTAAGGCACATGATTCAGACTTTATATGCTTCAGAAGTCAGTTTTTATATTCCTTGTGTAGGATTTTGTATTACTTAGAACAGTTACCCATGGAATGTTTGTAAGTTCCCTGTTTACTTTCTCCCAGAAAAGATACATCTCACCCCGGAGTTGTGGGGTGTACTGTGACGGTGTTGAGTGTTGATAAGTTTACTTCGCAATGTAAAGTAAACTTGGGCGTGTGTCGTGTTTCAATAGTATTACCCTGCACCAGTAAGGTGTACACACGTAAACTCTAGGACACACGTGTCCTAGTTTACCTGGGTACACCGTGGGTACACCTAGGACACACGTGTCCTAGTTTACCTGGCTACACCGTGGGTACACCTAGGACACACGTGTCCTAATAGTCTCACCCATGTTCCCCGCCAATGTTTACAACTCACCAACCGGTATTTTCCCTACATTTTATCCCTAATTGTTCGTCCGGGACCGGTGCCTGCACCCCCCTCATGCTGACTCGCCATGTAATTGTATTATGAGGTCAATCTCATCTCACTCTCTCTCGCTCTCTCTCTCTCTCTCTCTCTCTCTCTCTCTCTCTCTCTCTCTCTCTCTCTCTCTCTCTCTCTCCCACACACCTCTTCTACCCTCACTCCCTCCCTTCCTACCTCATGGTCTCTGGCAATTTTCGTTGAAATGAACGGAAATCTAGAGTAAGTGTTGAGGAAATGTGTCTGTTGGGAGCGTGGGGGACAAGGACTTTGTGCCCATCTTAACGGTGATAGCTTTCTCCGAGTGGTCCTTGGCTTGGTCTGTCTCTCTCTCTCTCTGTGTCTCTGTGTCCGCTTCTCCTTCTCTGTGTCCGCTTGTCATTATGCCTGCATACTGAATCTCTCTCTCTCTCTGTCTCTGTCTCTCTCTCTCTGGTGAGCTATAAAATAGATCATGGCCGCAACAGTACACTGTCAACTATCTACAAGAGACAGTGGTAGATAGGTAGATGGAAGGCAGCAGGGACAGCATTCTACTCCTCCTACAATTGTCCTTCTACTTCCTCCTTCTTCCTTCCTTCCTTCTCATCTCTGGAACCATCACCGGGGACACGAGAGGCGGCTCCTGTTCATATTCAACAACTGCTGCTCACATGTTTGTGCAGATGTTGGAGCATGTCCAGTGTGTGTGTGTGTGTGTGTGTGTGTGTGTGTGTGTGTACTCACCTAATTGTACTCACCTAATTGTGCTTGCGGGGGTTGAGCTCTGGCTCTTTGGTCCCGCCTCTCAACCGTCAATCAACTGGTGTACAGATTCCTGAGCCTATTGGGCTCTATCATATCTACATTTGAAACTGTGAATGGAGTCAGCCTCCACCACATCACTTCCTAATGCATTCCATTGCTAACTACTCTGACACTGAAAAAGTTCTTTCTAACGTCTCTGTGGCTCATTTGGGTACTCAGCTTCCACCTGTGTCCCCTTGTTCGCGTCCCACCAGTGTTGAAAAGTTCGTCCTTGTTTACCCGGTCGATTCCCCTGAGGATTTTGTAGGTTGTGATCATGTCCCCCCTTACTCTTCTGTCTTCCAGTGTCGTGAGGTGCATTTCCCGCAGCCTTTCCTCATAACTCATGCCTCTTAGTTCTGGGACTAGTCTAGTAGCATACCTTTGGACTTTTTCCAGCTTCGTCTTGTGCTTGACAAGGTACGGGCTCCATGCTGGGGCCGCATACTCCAGGATTGGTCTTACATATGTGGTGTACAAGATTCTGAATGATTCCTTACACAGGTTCCTGAACGCCGTTCTGATGTTAGCCAGCCTCGCATATGCCGCAGACGTTATTCTCTTTATGTGGGCTTCAGGAGACAGGTTTGGTGTGATATCAACTCCTAGATCTTTCTCTCTGTCTGTTTCATTAAGTACTTCATCTCCTATTCTGTATCCTGTGCCTGGCCTCCTGTTTCCACTGCCTAGTTTCATTACTTGCATTTACTCGGGTTGAACTTCAACAGCCATTTGTTGGACCATTCACTCAGTCTATCCAGGTCATCTTGTAGCCTCCTGCTATCATCCTCTGTTTCAATCCTCCTCATAATTTTTGCATCGTCGGCAAACATTGAGAGGAACGAATCTATACCCTCTGGGAGATCATTTACATATACCAGAAACAGTATAGGTCCAAGGACTGACCCTGCGGGACTCCACTTGTGACGTCTCGCCAATCTGAGACCTCACCCCTCACACAGACTCGTTGTCTCCTGTTGCTTAGGTATTCCTCTATCCACCGGAGTACCTTCCCTCTCACTCCAGCCTGCATCTCCAACTTCGCAACACACACACAAACTGTGTGTGTGTGTGTGTGTGTGTGTGTGGTGTGTGTGTGTGTGTGTGTGTGTGTGTAATTACCTAAGTGTAGTTACAGGATGAGAGCTACGCTCGTGGAGTCTCGTCTTCCCAGCACTCTTTTGTCATATAACGCTTTGAAACTACTGACGTGTGTGTGTGTGTGTGTGTGTGTGTGTGTGTGTGTGTGTGTGTGTGTGTGTGTGTGTGTGTGTGTGTGTATGTGTGGTGTGTGTGTGTGTGTGTGTGTGTGTGTGGTGGTGTGTGGTGTGTGTGTGTGTGCGTGTGCGTGTGTGTGTGTGTGTGTGTGTGTGTGTGTGTGTGTGGTGTGTGCGTGTGTGTGTGTGTGTGTGTGTGTGTGTGTGTGTGTGTGTGTGTGTGTGTGTGTGTGTGTGTGTGTGTAATTACCTAAGTGTAGTTACAGGATGAGAGCTACGCTCGTGGAGTCTCGTCTTCCAGCACTCTTTGTCATATAACGCTTTGAAACTACTGACGTGTGTGTGTGTGTGTGTGTGTGTGTGTGTGTGTGTGTGTGTGTGTGTGTGTGTGTGTGTGTGTGTGTGTGTGTGTGTGTGTGTGTGTGTGTGTGTGTGTGGGTACCCTCTTTCTTGCCGCCTGAGGTCACCAACCTAATTTCCGGACCATTTGCTGATATATTCTCAAAATCTAAACTGCTCCCGTCTGATTCCATTGCTCCGTGTTGATGGGGTTGAGTCTCTGGACCGTATTTCTGTACGGCATAAGGGCGTAAATAGCTGGTAATTCCCCCTCCAGCGGGTAAGAGCTAACTCATATTGGCAATTTATTGTGTATGAAACTCTTGAGTTAAGAGAGAAAAGTGTCGGGTGATATAACCTTTGGTGTTATTGCTTCGTGCGTGCACGCGCACACTCGCGTGCGTATACTGTTCTAATTGTGCTCATGTAAATGTACTTGAGGAGATGTGTCCGCGGGTTGTATACCCAGCTGTACCTGTGTTCCATGTGTTCGAAAGTTTCCTTCAAGGATTATATTATTTAAAATATACTATGTATTGTGATATTTTTTTAATCATAGAAAAAAGTAGTTGGTATTAGTGTGTATAATAGAGAAGATGGGGAAGGTGAACATTGTATGACCCCCCTACATCTCCTCCCCCTCCTTCCCACAACCAGTGGGGGGGGGGGAGGGGAGGGTGGTTGGTGTGGGTGGCTGGTGTGGGTGGCTGGTGTGGGTGGCTGGTGTGGGGTGTGGTTTGAGGTGTGGGGTGTGGTGTGAGGTGTGGGGTGGGGTGTGGGTGTGGGGTGTGGGGTGTAGGTGTGGGGTGTGGTGTGTGTGTGGGGTGTGTGTGTGGGTGTATGGTGGGGGTTGAGCCTTACCTGCGGGGTGGTGACGGTGTTGAGGGTGTGGTCAGGGGTGTGGGGCGGGGAGGCCAGGTCCAGGGACGAGGGCGCCCCTGGGGGCG